ACGACATCCCTGTAGTCCTCCTGAGGCGCCTGCCCCTTCTGCCAAAGGTCACAAACTCTTCTTTTTCCTGAGTTCCAGCCAAAGCTCTCTGTTCAGCCAGGCCGGTCTCCTTCCCCGCCGGCTCGTGTTTCAGCTCATGGGGACAGCCCTGCTCCTGTGCCTTTGAGATTTCCTTCTTGAAGAACGTCTGGCCTTCCTGGACCCCTTGCCCTTCAGGACTGCCTCCTGAGGGACTCGGTCAGCCAGGCTCCTGAACGGGCCAAAGTCTGCTCTCCGGAAGCTGCTGCTGCCTTCTATGTTCCAAAGGATTTGAGAGTGAAATCCAAATCTAGTCACTATTCTGAGTCCTGTAGTGTAGCATAAATCATGTTAGTTCAGCTTTTTCATGGAATAGGGTAAGAGAATTAATAAGGAAAGGCAATATGCTTGATGCTAAAAGTAGAGTAATAAATGGCAAGATGCGGTGATGGATGGTTTGCAACACTTGGTGTTCTCTCTTCAAATGGCAGTGCCGATTTACATTCAAGATATTGGTACGGACACCTGTATACCTTGTTTCTTGCTTCCAAAGACATGTTTACTGGCTCAGGTGACAATATGCTCAAGTCTCAGTGAATGTGTAACTAGGTATACTGTGCCTGCGCCAAAACTCTTCAGCTGAGCTCTGTAGAACTTACTGACCGTATAATTTTCTTGTTCATCACTTCCATTATGCAGCTGGTCTGAGGAGGAAGTGTTTTATGAAGGAGACATTGGTTACAGTGCAAGTACTTTTTCTGCCGTACTGCTTTGGTGCAGCGATTTTATTGCTATCCATGTACGATACCCGTCGCAGTGCTGATCCAATTCCTGTGGTCTGAGTTTTTAGTTGTCTTTGCTGCTGCATGCCTGCCACTGGCACTTAGCTCCTTGGCAGTGGTTTATAGAAGTGATGATACTCACAAGAAAGATGGTGATGCTCTTTGCTTGCGGGGTTTTTTATCCTTCTGTGGGCTGCTTTGGAAAGAGGCTTTGCTGCTGGCACATTTTGGCATCAGTTGCTGTGAGGCTGTCGTCCCTGTCTGTTCAGAAATCTTGTGGTTTATGCTGTTGTGGTAATGACAGGGCAGCTAGCTCTCTGCAGGTTCCTCTTGAGGACCAGTTCAAGCCTTCTAGGTAAGAAGCACCATGTAGCCTTTCTTCTTCAGGCTGATGTAGAAGCTACAAAAGCTCTTTGGCTCTCACTGTCTAACAGCAGTTTGGAGACCCAACAGTGAATTCCAGACTCAAACCAGGATCTAGGGAATCCTTCAACAGCTTGATGCTGTTTTTTCCCCGTAATGGTTGTAGCATCTTCAGCAAGTCTGAGAGAGGAAAGACCTCAAAGATGCAGGCAGCCTGGTGCCATGGCCAGCTGCCACTTTGCCTTTGCGTATCAAACCCTCTTAACTTCATAATGAATGAAATATTAAGCTCTCTCTACCCTGATGGCGTAAATTCATTTGCTTCTGCCACAGTCAGGAGGGATTTTCTTTTTTCTCTTTGAAGAAAGCATGTGAAGAACAAGGGTGTGGATTTTAACGACTCCTGGTGTAAATGCCTAATGCTTCAGGAGAAATCCCTGCGTACGTAATAAGTGTGTATGTTCCTTTTTCTTTTTTCTGCCCCATTTGTCCTGCAGGAGAGTTGTGTAATTCAGAGGGAACAGAAACTCCTTGGTTTATGGGATTAAGATAAACCCACTTACTCTGCAATAACGTTCACAAGGATAAAAATGCAATCTTTAGCCAAGGAGCTGGACCCAGGGTACATTATCAAATGGAAAACACCCCTGTTCCTAGTAGATTATCCTTAACACTTCCAATTTATAGTTAATGTTCCAACTGTTAATCCAGATGAATCGCATCTTTTTTTACTGTGCATCTTTGTACCAGTGAACATATTCTGGCATGGTCAAGGCTTGGCCATACCTCTACATCTTGGACTATTTTCTGTGTGTACTTTTCTCTCTAAAAGCCTCTTTTATCCATTTATGCATTTGTTCAGCTGCCAAATGGCTCTCCTGCTGTGGCAGATGCTTTGGCTTCGTGCTTGGTCTTTATCCCTTGTATGTCCAGACTTTGTTGGTTATACAGCATTTGTCAGCTACTTGCTGCTATTGCTCTAGTGAGCTTTTAGGAAAGTGTGAGAAACTTTTTTTTCCCTGTGTGTGTGAACTGAGGAGATAGTGTTCTGCAACATCTTGCTTTTAATTGTGAAACCCAAGATTAGAGGCAATTATCTTGGAGACTTTGAGGGGATCTGTAGAAAATACAGTAGTGGGTGTTGCATATATTGGTATTAGGTTTGGTACCATAAATGTGCAAATAAACCGTGGGTCTCTTCATCATTGACTCACTGATGCTTGTAAAAGTCCATAAAACACAGCAATTTCTTCCTCGCCCCTTGTACATACATGCCTACCTACTTGGCGCATACACAGTTTGAGGTATCTCCTGGAAGGAGGCTGCAGATGAAGACCTTTCCTAACCGCACTGTTCAGTAACAACCAGAAATTTCCTATAGCAAGAAGCTTTAATGTGGTTGCCAGTATTGTATTAAACATGTTCCTTTTCAGAGGGTCCTCCAGGTTGCCCACCCACTCAGCCGTATTTAGTCATCTAAAATAATGTTATTTCTCTATACGTCCACATCTGTTTTCACTCTATTGCAAATTGAAATGCTGCTGTATATTCTCTGTGTATTGTGGCTACTTTCCCAGCATATTGAAAATTTACGCAGTGTAAGGGGATTTTACAAGTTCTCGAAAAACATGAAGTATTTTCCCACAGTAGCCACACTGTATAATGTCTAAATGAAATGACATCTATTCACAGAATTAAAATGTGCACCTGCATATGACTTACTGCTTTATAGTGCCTTCACATAGATATACGTAGTACTTTAGTTTCTTTTATTTGAAGCCAGCATTTTCTTATGGGGAGCTTATTAAGTAGCTTCCTACAGGGAACTTCTGAGAATTAAGCCAGGTAGCATCCCAAATGTCTGGTGAGCATACTATTACTGACTGCTGTTTTGTTTGGGAAACCGTTACATGCAAAATTTCTGATTTGTGGTGTTCTTGGTGTATGCTGTAGGTAGCGGTAATCACTGTCGCAGGAAGCTGAAGTGTGAAAGTGCTCAAATGGTGTTTGACTGCTCAGTAGCTAGAGTGTATTATCTACTTATTTCAGACCTTTCCAAGAATGTTGCTTTAGGGAAACTCTCTCTTAAGACTACTTCGAAAAGCTGTTTAAATCGGCTAACTCAAATCTGTGATGCTTTACCTCCTGCATCTTCAGTGTTAATATTGCATTTTTAAATATCTTGCCTTCAGATCTGTAATTATATTGGTTCATGCTATTAGTGTCTACAACCCTCTCCTGTTTCCGAGGGTCACTTCTGCAGCAGCAAAGGAGTTAATGAGTTGCAGTTCTGCCCTCTTAGCACAGATGATGAATCTTCAGATAAAGCTTGAGAATTGCTTGTCCTTCCTCCTTAAAACCTCTGTCCCATGCTGAGCAAGCAGCATAATGAGCGGTCTGCTACCTTCAAGGCAGGAGCCCAAGACTGAACCAGCACAGTGTCAGGTTTGAACATTTTAAGCCCAGTTCCCCATCTGATAATCAGCAGTGCAGTAGCTGGCCAGAAAAGCTGATCCCAAACTGACAGATGACTTGTTTACTTAATTTCATTAGCTTCCCCACCAAATTGGAAGAGAATGAGAAGGGATGAATAACTTGTCAGCATGCTCTAGAAGCATCTCTTAGTACTTACAGTTTAGACAAATTCCTGTGGCACATCAGGTTTGTGTTATGACTGTGTATAATTCTCTCTAAATTGCATAATGGGAGACAATTGAAGGAGCAAATGCGTTTTTTTTTAGGTTAGCTTTCCCTCAGAGCAGACGTGTTTTCCTAGAATTGGGACGTCATAGTCGTGCTGCACTTTTGTCTTTAATAAGCGTTTTGGTTGCTTTTCCAAACAAACTGGCAGTCGATCAGCTTCTCCCCAGGTTTCCATGCAGTATTTGGGGGGGATCCCAGGGAAATAGCTAAATAAATGGCCTGTTCTGGTGCTTGTACTGGAAGACGGAAAGCATCCCAGCCTGTCTAGGTACTGCAGGCGTTGGCCTGGAGTTCTGTGCACAAATTCTCTTATGACTGTTGCTATCAACTTCCTATCCAAAATCCCACATTTCTTTGAAACCAACATTGGTTGTCTTACAAGTAATAAAGCTGATTAAACCGTGGAAATCATCCTGGTTCTGCTATGAAATGGTTTGTGGCTTTTTAAGGTGTGTCAGATCTCTTTCCTTAAAAATATCTCTCAGAATGAAAATGTTGAGAATTATACTTCCACAGATTTTAAGGCAGGGCGGGGGGGGAAAGTTTGCATTATTGGAAATCTTACGGTCCTGTTCAGTTTTATTTTTATCAGGCTTTAAGGTGCTCAGAGGAGGCTTTTGTATCTCAAAATCCCTTTCTAAGATGTGTAAAGACAGTTAATAGGTGAAGTGATAGGGAAGGAGAGGTCCAAGAACTCCCATAACCTCCCTGTTGGTCTCAGCAGTTCTGTACCGTTGGTTACTCGGGTGAAGCTGAACATGGCACCGTATGAGCTCCTGGTATAATCTTTGCTGCTTATGTCAGATGGCCATGTAAATATGGGGGGGAACTGAATTGTTATGAAATGTATCTCTCTAATGGCTCCTTTGGAAAGTCTCATTAAGGTTAGTAGACCATAATTTTCACCGCTAAACACAGCTTTTGTCATGACAAATTGTTGAAGTCCTGATTCTAATTCATTGTGGTTTGTGTATTTTTATTAGGGGAAGGCAAAAAGATACATTTAAGTTTTATATACTTCAGATTTAAGGATGTCATATGTAAAAGTGGAAAGATTGCCGTGTATGTGTTGGAGTAGTCATGCTCAAGCATGCAACCTCGTGCCTAACTCCTGATTGTTTCCCCTCTCATTAGACTATAGAATCTAACTGGCGATGCGGACGACATAATTTGCAGAGGATTCAGTGCCGCTCTGAAAACAGCAAAGGTGTCTACTGTTTACAGTATGATGATGAAAAGATTATCAGTGGCCTACGAGATAACTCCATTAAGGTAAACACTTTGTTTGGTCTTTTCCCTGGAGATAAGTGGGTAATTCTGCCTTGGAAAGCTAGATACTTGTGTTTCCTTTGTTTCTCTTGTCTCTTCATGAGACAGTATTTATCTGTGCAGAATTTATGAGGATAGGATGTCTTCTGTAGCTGGGCAAATTTCTCACCTGCACTTTGCTCTGGAAACTTTGGGGACTACCAGCCAAAGACCAATGCTATTGACCACAAAGAAATGCTTGTGAAATCACGAGTTTGCATAACATAAATGAAAACTGCATGTGCCACTGTCCTTAGCTGTGTCTTTGTCATTGCTTAGTAGGTTGCTTTCGTGCTAATAGTCCGTGGCATTTCCTTTTGCACTACAGGCTTGTATCTTTTCATGATCGTTGGTTATTTCACTGTTCTGTCAAAAACTTGCATCGAGACTTCCTTAAGCTCAAAGGGAGGACAGCCCCACTGACTGGACAGGCAAACTGCCCATGGATTCTTCCTGCTACTTCTGGTTTTCCTCCTTCCTTCACAGCTGCAGCAGTGTTCAAGTCTTGGATCCGTGTTCTTGATCTTGATAAGGCATTTATACTTCTTGTTTTTACCAGATTTGGGACAAAACAAGCTTGGAATGTTTGAAAGTATTAACAGGACATACTGGCTCGGTTCTTTGTCTGCAGTATGACGAAAGAGTCATTGTAACTGGATCATCAGATTCTACAGTGAGGTGAGTGTTAAGTTTTTGCACAAAAATCATTTGAGTATCAGGGCTGGGAATATTTACAATAATCTCTAAATATCAGAAAACATCCCCAATATGAATGCGATACTATTATTCCAAAACTGAGATATTCATACTTGGCAAAGCATCACATTAATAAATTTTTTTTTGAAATCTGTCTCATTTTTTTAGTGTTAAGACTTTTGAAGGAATATGACCCGGGTGATTCAAGGTATATCCTGAATTTGTAGAATGGCTGATGGCCAACTATACAGTCATTTCTTTGTTTAGGGTTTCTTGTACTGCTTTCTGACATCTCTTAATTACGACTATTAATGAAAGGATATTTGGTATATATGGAGCACTTGTCTGACTGCAATTTTGATGATACTGAGTTTAAATTCTTCTATGAATTCAATGGTCAGTAGGTGTCCAATATAAGGACTCTCAAGTACAGTTCAGGGGAAGGGCCTTGTCTCCCTCTGGTGTATTGCATTGGTGTACCAATGTCAGTCTCTATAAAACTTTTCAAAAGTTAAGAGCTGGTCTTAACACCCTTCAGGCACTATGAATTAAGTAGTGATTTTTCACTTCACGTAAGCTTACTGGCCTTGGAGGGTGCTACATCCCAATTGCTACTAGTGTGTGAAAAATTTGAATGAATGGTGTAAAACTGAAAAAAAACCCCAGACATATTGGATAGTATTTGTTTTGGTCTGTTCCATTAATTTATACATCATACAAGCTTTAGTCATCCCGGAAGAGCTGCAGAATTGTTAAGCAGCTCCTTCTCTGAGCAGTGGTCCAAGCTTAAGCATTTCCTGGCCTAATTGTTCGCTCCTGTTAATTGTTGCTTGTGAGTCTGAGACGTGAACTAGGCTACTTCCCCAGCAACCATCTTCCTGACTTCCCCAAGCCCTAAGAGATGTTAAACAACCAGAGAACTCTCCATTAGAGATAGTAGCAGACTTGTGCATGTTTAGGCTTTATGCCATGCATAGCCACCATCCTTCGTTTGGAATAAAATTCTTTTCTTTTGCAGAGTTTGGGATGTAAATACAGGTGAAGTTCTGAACACGTTGATTCATCACAATGAGGCAGTGCTTCATTTGAGGTTCAGTAACGGTTTAATGGTGACATGCTCAAAGGACAGATCAATTGCTGTTTGGGATATGGCATCACCTACTGACATCACCCTACGCCGAGTCTTAGTTGGCCATCGTGCTGCTGTTAACGTGGTAGACTTTGATGACAAGTATATTGTGTCAGCATCAGGTGACAGGACCATTAAAGTAAGTAGACAGAGCTGTAATCTAAGTCTACATGCCTTCCAAGCCAGAAAAGCTTCTGAGCGTTATTCAGCTCTGAATAGCCAAGGTGTTCATAAGTAGTTCTGTGCCTTTTTCTTTACTGTTCAGCTAGCTGCTTCCTCTTGCTAGCTGTTAATGTCTTTATGCGCATAAGTAGGCTTGTAACATTTTTGTGGCTTCTGTCACACAATTGCAAAACAGTAAAGCCCATTCGCTGTTTGAACTCTAGTTTCAAGATCGATTGGTTTGTTAAATGTGGCACATTTTGTGCCTTTTTCCAAGCGGTATTTTTTATTTCAATTGGCAGCCCTGTACCAGACGTGAAATTTATCAGCAGTTGCCTTTCCTCACCACGCCTTCCCAGCAGCTCAACCAGACTTTGCCATGTTTGAAGAATTAAGAGGCTGTGTTTGAAGACTATTACATACCAGAAGATTTGAGTTACCCAAAGTGTATTAGTATAACAAAGGCGTTTCCACCCTTCCCTCTCTAGAACCAGAGCTACCTTAGACTGTGCCAAAAAACTCTTGGCAGTTTAATGTCCAAATGTCTGCCAGAGATCCCGCTGCACTCTGTGTTGGAAAGTGAGCCACTGGATATTCTGCGTTACAACTTCAATTACGGTTCATTAAAAATGGGCAAAGTTGATTGAATCATTTAATGTTAAGAAAGAAGCAGCCACCAAACTTTCACAGGCCATGGTTTTGGCCTTCTCTTACTAGTGGATTGCTAGCAATTTCTTTGGTTAAAAAATGTGAGGTTTTTGTGTGTGTGATAACTTCCACTTTTAAAAATGATTACTAACTTGCCAAGACTCAAGCATAATCAAGTTTTTGAAATCATTTGGGGCAGTTTCTACCACCTGAAAATATTTTATATACAACCCCCCTCAACTTTTCTCATTGACTCAATGTGCAATAGCAGTGCCTGTGGCTCTTGTCACTGCTAGGTCCCCATAGCACCAGTCTTCCATTAATGCCAGGGACCCACTCTTTGCCCCTAAATATAATATGTGAGTTTTCATTCCAATGTCCAGCAAAGGTCAGACTCAGACCTCTGCTGTTTATGAATTCATAACAGCTTCCATTGAAATTCAAAAACCTTGTTTGGGCGTAATTCTTAGACGAGTATTTATCTTGTGTTTCACAGGTCTGGAGTACAAGTACATGCGAGTTCGTTCGTACTCTGAATGGGCACAAGCGTGGCATTGCATGCCTCCAGTATAGGGATCGACTAGTTGTCAGCGGATCTTCAGACAATACCATTAGGTGGGTGTCCGTAAGCTGCTATTGGTACGTAACGGTGGACGTTTGCACGTGTGAAAATAGGATTTCCCCTGACCTTTGATGCTGTCCTGCACTGCTGCATGTGCAAAACATCCTTGGTATGTCTTGCTGTTGGAGCAGATGATGTATGAATAGAACTTAACTCGATGTGAGAGTAAACAAGCCACATCCCTGTGAGAAAGTGGGACGCTGAGGTGTATGTCAAAGGTAAACAAATTTTTTTAGCTATTGCTATAGTTTATCACCTTCTCTTCTGCTTGGAGAGATGAGGAAGACATTGGTCACTGGTTTTCTTAATTACTTTCTGAACCTCTTATCATTGGTTTATGCAGAACAGAAAAAAGTGTATTAAAAGTTTCCCAAGGTAACTGACCACGTATCCAACCTTTACTTGTATATAACTGTGAAAGACTAAATTAATTTTGATATACTGCGGCTGCAACACAAACTTATCTCTGAATTGCATGCAAGGAACATCTCATGGTTCTCATGCCTTTTTAAGCAAATTACGTGGTATGTCCCACAGACGACGATTCAGTAGCGTGCTTAAATCGCTGCATGTGAGGCTAAGGGGCTGTGCTGAACCTGAAGTACTCAAAAGCATTCTCCTCTGTTCTCTTAAGGCTATGGGACATTGAATGTGGTGCCTGTTTAAGAGTATTAGAAGGCCACGAAGAACTGGTTCGATGCATCAGATTCGACAATAAGAGGATTGTTAGCGGAGCCTACGATGGGTATGTTTTTGAAAGCCATTTCCAAAAATTTTGTCTTTCTAGGCAAAGAATCTTCTGAAAGCCATTGAGCCTTATATTGCCTTGTGTGTAAGGGTTCTCTTCTGATTTGACTAACGGATCAATATTTAACTGAGTGGCTTCTGCTTGAGCACTTCAACACAGAAGGATGCAATTTTAAGTAGCCAAGAAACTGCTTTTCTGGCACTCTTTAGCATGCTCCTAAATTGTGTTCTCACTCAAGTTTGACTTGCCGTAGAAAGTAAACTTTTGTTTGACTGAAGTGACATTCCTTTGTTTCTTCCCTCAGGAATTGCTCCTTGCCAGGTCCTGTGTGCTTAGAGTAGTTTAGGCTTTCTATTTTTATAAGACACCAGCACTGAAAATATTTATCGTGAGCGTAAATGTATCTTGTGAGGCTCTCAGAAGTCTTTATTGACCATTTCTGTAGGGTTGAGGGCAGGAGCCCCACTGTTAAGTGCTTCTGACTTGCTCAGTATTTTCAGTATATAGTGGATTCACAACAGCTTACATCCATGTCCACATTCTCCATTTCTTTCTCTACCTGACTTATACTTCAAGTGAACAGTAGAGTTACTGAAAACAGTTCTTGAACTGTGTTTGTCTCTAGCTTTTTATCTGGGTTTAGTGTCTCACTGGGGTTGGCAGTCCCAGTTTAATTCCCACTGGAACTTTGCACCTCATCAGTAGTGCTGTGAGCTTTTGAGATCTTTTGCAGTTCCAAAATGGCTTGTGCATACATAGTCAGTTTGTCTTTCGTAGAACCAACCCACTTGGTCCGTCACAAGGACAACACTGTATTTACTGCTAAAAAGAAATACAAAACTGCCTATATTTTATGAGATTTAGCATTAGTATTTTAGTGAAGAATGATTCTGATTTTCCTTGATCATGATGAACTAGCTGTAGAGAGAATCTGGCATGCTTTCCGTTGCTTTAGAAGTTTTTTTTTTTATGCTTATACTTTAAACAATGCTTTCATAATAACCTTCTTATTTTATTTTATAGCAAAATTAAAGTTTGGGACTTGCAAGCTGCTCTTGACCCTCGTGCCCCAGCAAGTACATTATGCTTGCGTACCTTAGTGGTATGTAAAATTAATTAATTTGGGGTTATCTGAAATCTTTTATTTGTAAGTGAGAGGCATTTTATTACATTGTAGTGGGATAGGTGAGAAACTCGGGATTTTTTTATAAAGCCTAGGCTGTTGCTTATTCTAAGAATAAAGAAAAATTTATCTATTATGTCCTAAATGATTTGGATCTGAGCTTAAAAGAAAGATCCAGTTTTTCTAGTTTGAGATTCTCAGATACTCTCAAAAATAAAAATAAATCAGCATGACACTGTGTCAAATCATTCTAGTTGTTTGTGTGTTTCTCTAATATCATTATCATTAAATTTCCTCTTATTAAAAAGGGGGGAGGAAATCTTGTGAGCCTTTCCTGAACCTTTCTTCTAACCCTTCAGTTTGGAAGGAAGAGATGTGAATAGGGAAGGGAGGTTGAGTCAAAGGGATTACCACAGGAACTCTAATCACTTCAGAGGACTACCAGATTTAAGGCCGTTGCTTAAGTTATGTTTTTCTTTGTAATAAGGGTTTTGGTTTATGACAGTAGCCTTAATTAAAAATAGATTGGGGAAATGAGTTCATTGTTCTTTTCACTGAAATGTGCATGAAATTTTCCTTCAGGAGTCAGTTTGACAAGCTAGTAGCAACCCAAAGTTATTGACTGTATGTGATGGTAACTGGCTTATTCAGCATGTGCTTGACCCTTCCCAACACCTAAAGAAGTGCTTACATGGCTAGAAATGCTTCTCATTTTTCTTTCTATTCAGTAGTCTTTGCATAGAGGTGAGATTTAACTATTCTTTTATTCCATATGAATGCGGCATATTTAGTTTTACTGAAAGTTGATTCTTTCCCTTCTGTGGGTGCAGTGTAGCTCAGGTTATAGTTTGGAGATCAGTCTGGCAGCTTCGGTTAGTTCTCTAATCAAGGTAGTATGCTCGTTTTAAATTTATTAAAAACTGATAAGCAGGACAAAGAGGAGAACCTTTTCTGGGCCTCTTAGTGCCATTTTGAGATTTCTTGAAAGAGCTGACGGAGCGTGTACTCCTCCACCTCCCTTTCTTACGGCAACGTTTGAACACAGTCATCTTGACTAGCAAGTGAGCCATAACGATCCTTTCAGCACCGTGTCCTAGATGAAGCTGTGACGTGGTGCGTTAGGACTGTGCAAAAACCGAGTTAGCAGCAGTGTTGAATGAAAATGCTACGTGAGAGAGGGAGCCCTGGCAGATTGTCAGTGCCAACCGATCTTCTAAATTGCTGCTTCTTGATTGATAGGCTGCTTTTGTCTTCAGTAATCTCGGCCTCTGCGGCTCATCCCTCCGGGAGAGGCTGGGGGTTTACAAGCACTGGATTTGGAAGCTATGCGCTTTGCTGAAAAAAGCTTACATGCAAAATCAGCTTTTCTTAAGCTTGAGCGTAATTATACTTTAGGATTTCTTAACCAGCACACCAGAGTATGAATACACCGTTCTGTGTCCAGATACACGTGTGAGCACAAACGTAATGAAATGTTAGCCTCTTCTTGCCTCCCTAACTGATTTCGTATTGCTCACAGGAACATTCAGGACGTGTCTTTAGACTCCAGTTTGATGAATTTCAGATCATTAGTAGTTCCCATGACGATACAATTCTGATTTGGGATTTCTTAAATGTGCCACCCAGTGCCCAGAATGAGACACGCTCTCCATCTAGAACATACACTTACATCTCCAGATAACAGTCTGCACTTTACTACCCTCGGAAGGTAAGTAGCCCTCTTTTTATTGGATGTATTATAAATATCGGAAATTATGACTCTGCCTGCAGGTTGACTTAGTCAACAAGCTGATGTTTTCCTTAAGAAAACAAAACTTATTTATGCCACTTCTTTCACTATCTAATCTTTGTATGGTCATACTTCAGCCTATAAAACTTGTCTTGTTATCTTACCCCCTTCTATAATCCCTCCTGTTTATAACTGGGTACTTCAGGTATTTTATGGAAAGCTATTACATGTTCATAACATTCTTGGAAATTGAGGAGACTTGGTGTATTGCACAGGTACGCCAGATATCCTGTGAAATCGGAGCCTTCCGGAGTTCTTGATCCATCTGCTCACTATGTGAAGCTTTGAAACGAGCATTGAAATGCATCTCTAATAAAATGTGTTTATGATCTTTGGACAAATACTCATCAGAAATGAGCAGTTCTGTGATAACCACAAATAGTCAGGAAAGCGTTCAGGATGAAAAATTACATCATGTTAGGCAACATGACATCTCGGAGCCGTCAGAAATGGTGCATGTGAACTTTATCTATTTTGTTTCCATTTTTCTGCAGGTCAGCTTCATTTAGTTCATGAAGCACGGTGGGTAAAAGCCATACCATAGATCTGTTTGTTAGGACAGCGGATTCTTTTCCTTATGTCGCCTATATTGCTGCTAACAGTTGCACTTCAAACTATAAATAGCTGTGAATGCTGGGACTTGGGAACACAGAAATTGCCTTCCCAAAGCAGAGCAGTCCCCCCTTTCTCCAGTGCCCCGTCTCTGCCAGGGCTGAGACCAGATGTTTCCAAGGAAGTGGAGAACACCACAGCAAGAGGAGTTAGGAGTGACATTGCCCCAACAGGAAGGATTTATTTTATTTGAAGTAGATAATTAATAGTTTGCTTAAACATTGTGGGAAAAGCTTTCCCTGTCTTCATGTAAGCATGGATTTTCATTATCTATCTGTGTGTGTTTATCCCTGCTGTGGCAATGAGTTCCTCAGGTTTTACCAGTCCTTCTGTAGGATCTCTGCTTCTGACTAGGAAATACCTTCCCTCGTGAAGACGTGCTTTGCTGCTTTGAGATACTGGTTCTTAAAAATTAGTTTTCTTTGATCTGTAAGCATTCCTCGAGAGAGTGTTGGCTGCCTTTCCTACTAACTGAACTCCTAACTCATTTTAAAATAGCCAAGATAACGTCCTCTCTGGGTACGACCCTTGGATCTGTTGGCTCGTTACGTTTCACAGAGGGTCAAAGCAAAAAGCTGGCCATCGCTAGACTGAGTTGGCTGTCTTTCTGGACCTGTAATTACTTACTATAATTAGGCCCATGATTAAGGAAGAAGTCTTATGCTATGATGATGAGCTAGTGTGCAGAATCAGCAGTTAATGGAACTTCCCCTTAAAAGCACATTTTAAGGACACTGCTGCAAGAGTAGTTTAGTAACACTCGTGGGCTTCCTTATCCTGCCTGTAGTAGGACAACAGAAATCTGAAGAGGCTAAACTGCTAAACTTCATGTTTGTACAGGGTGGGGAAATGACTAAAAAACACGGCTTTCTGGGAGATAAATCCTGAAACTACCCAAAGAGCCAGGTCCTCCAGTGCTGCTCACCTGTGACTTCCACTTCGGAATTATTTTGTTTGATGCAGGATGACACACTTGCATCCTTGTTGTGGGAAGCTTGATGGTGACGTCCCTATGGATGTCGTCCTGCTCCTTTTAAGATGGGGATACTGCCATTGGCTTCTGTGCCACCTGGATCTGTACCTCGCTGAACTTCTGCTGTGGAAACTCCAAGGCTTGTTGAAGTTGAATGGTTTTCCCTCTTTATGGAAAACTGTTTTTTCTCCTTTTTGAGTAATTCTATTTTTTTTTTTTCTTATCTTTTCAGGCAGGTAGGATAGACTGCGTGAGAAGATGACAATAGTTCTAGGAACAATCTCCATCTATATTCCAGTTTATACACCAGTGCTTTCTTCTGTTAACTTGCAAGTTAATTTGAGATCAACAAATTCTTTTATTTTTGTCGTTTTTTGTTTTTTGTTTTTTTTTTTTTTTTAAATCACAGAAGCGTATATGGCAGGCTTCTTTATTAGTTTTGATTCATGGAAAAACTATACATAGTGTGTCTTAAGCACAAAAGTAATTAGGAGTCGAATAAAACTTCTATCAATTTGCTTGACCAGCAATATGCTGGTGTCTTACTTTTCTCTCTTGCCACATGTGGCCCCCAAGACCCACTGTCATGGAGATTTGTCAGTGAAATATGAAATGCCTTTGGCAGTGTGTTCTTCCGTTCAAATTCTGCTCACTTGACAGTTTTGCACAGCTTATGTCTGACTTGCCCCATGACGCACAACTGAAACCACGCAGACCTCTGTATCCTGGGAGTTGTTGGTGTTGGTAATGATAGTCCCTTAATAATTATTTCCTATATAGGAGAGATGCTGTGATGTCACTTTTTGACAGGTTTGTCTGACTTCAAAATCCAAAAAACATAAATCTACATAAAATTATGGTCAAACAGCTAATATTTCATTATGATATTTAATGAAACAGTTTTATATGCTTTCAAACATTATAGTTTTCTGAATTTTGAAGCAGCGCTGCACACTTTTTTACAAGGCTTGCAATGTTACGCCTCTTCAAAGCGGATCATTTTTGACAGTCCTGGCAGTTGGCTGCGAGAGTTTTATTGCTTTCTCTTGAATTCCTCTTGTTTATTGTAACATGATAAAAATTGTTACCATATGATAGTCTAATATTCTTATATGAAGCACTAGGCCTTGGGCTGGGGGAAGGGAAGTTGAGGGGAGGTGCCTAAAGATGTTTTAACCTTTCACGGGAATTCCGTATCAGAAGAGGATAGTTCTGTTATCCATAAAAATGGTTTTGGGAAGTGGCAGGTAAAATCAAAGTTCAGATTTAATTACACTGAGAACTTGCACTGGCTCCAAGGTAATAATGGAGTCATGTGGCTGGAAAAGGTAACCAAAATACAAAACTGCTTGAGTTTTTTGTCTGTTTTCTTAAAAACTCATGTATTAAAGCAACTGAACTTGCATCCCATGCAAAGCTTGCTCCTCTGCAGTGTGGAGAAGAAAGGAACGTTTTCTCGCAGTTGTCTGTAGGTCAGTGTCTGAGTAAATAGCGTTCAGCAGTCAGCAAGACCGCTAGCTTGGTGGTTCACCTGTTGGTCCCCAAGAGGGTTTTTGAGGCTTACTACATGTAAGAAAACTGCCAAACCTATAGGTGACCCCGCAAGGACTAGTGCCACTGAGAACTTTGCTCTTACTTCAACTGAATTCAGAGCATTTTCTACAACGAAGAGAGTGTCCTGTGGAGGTGCGTCTCTCCTCGAAGGAGGGACTTGTGGCGCAGAGGGCAGTACTTAACGGCCAGCACCCCCTTAATGTGTTGCATAAGTGTCGCACTCCTTGCGGGTATTTTGCCCTTTTGGTTTCAACCTAGGGCAGAAGATGGTGTGGGCCTAACCTCCTCCAGATGTCTCCAGTTGTTGCTTTTGGATTGGTATCTTCTGTCAGTTCAGTTTCTCTTTTTGTCTTTTTCAGGGTTGCACAGTCTTGAACTACTGGATTTTTGGCTACTACATGCCTGAAGATGTTGATCGACAGCTAAAGTCAGAATTGGTTCTAGATGCTGTGTAGATGCAAAGCAGCACAATTCTATATCTAAATTTCGTAATCTTTCCTGCTCTCAGTGGTCGTCTTTGAATTTACTACAAATTCACTGACTTCGAGTAGATGAATTTCAGACGCCTATCCTTCCCTGCAATGAGAAATCCAAAGCTTCACATGTAAATTGTCCGTAGAAACTGAACTCTGATGGCTTGTTTTTCAGAAATAAATCAGAAGTCAAGAAAGGACTTGGCCTAATTTATATTGCTTTGCACTTTTGTCTGACTTTAAAGAAAAAAAACATTCTCCAATGAAATTTGGGTGCCAAACACATACCCAGAATGTACAGAGCTTTGCTTTCAAAGTCACCATTGTCCTTTAGACTTTACTCTCATGACAGATTCAGAGCCTGTTTTGTTTGATAGGAGTGTATGTTGGACTCTTAGGAGTATTTCTGAATCGCTCAGTAATATTTTTGGATTACAGTTTACTTGTTTCTGCACCAATAATTTCTTTTAAATTAAAAATTACCTGTAATTCAGGCTAGGTTATCGAAACTAGTTGTATAGCACTGTCTTTTCCTTTTAACTGTGCTCTGTACTACAGCCGTCCTACGCTTCCTAATGTTTGGTATAGTAAAACCTTTCCATGTGTGCTTGCCTCATTTCAAATACTGTATAAGCATGTAGATATAATGTACATACCAGTGTAACCTCCGGGTGCGAGGAGTCAGGATTTCCTGACACTACACACTAACACAAAACGTGGTAGCACTTGGCAGCAGGACGTTCTAACTACTGGCACTGGAGGGGTTACTATGAGTTACCGAGACGTTTTTCTCTGCAAAAGGAGGTTTTCAGTATTCATTAGGATTTTTTTAATGGGAACTACATATTTTAAAATGTAATTTCTAAACTTTTTAAAAATTAAAGAAATGTTTAATTTATGTTCTGTATCTTATATTTTTGTGCCGCAGTATTAACAGATGTCTTTCTTTTAACACCGGTAGGTCCTCACGGACGCCTGCCGGTGTCCTTCTAGAGCATTAGTTCGGCTGCTTGATGGAGAAGATGCCATGGGCCAAAGTTAAATTTATTTATGTTTGATTTGTAACACTTCCGTACGGTGGAGTGGAGGTCCCTTCAAGTCAATGCTCTGGTTACTGTGCTGATTACCATGCTAATTACCATGCTAGTTTTCTTTTCCGTAGCTATCAGCTGTGACCATGTTGTGATATCCTGGTCGTGGCTCCTCTTCGTTAGCATGCTTTTTATTAGGAAGTCTCAGTAGTTTCTTTACGTTATCATAGTCTCCCCTCTAATTTATGTGGTCATATAAACGCTACTGCATTTTTCTTATGTCAGACTAAGACAAGGATAAATGCAAACGTGAATATTTTATCTGCATTAGCCATGTGTGACTACGCCTGTCGGTGGCTTTTCTTTAATGCTTCGGTGGAGCTCAGTGTGAAATCCGCCCATTTTTCTGGGGAAGATGCGTGCCGGCACAGAACTGTATTGTCATTTCTTGGATCGTTTGTACGTCATGGTTTTGTGTGGGGTTTTTTTTTTCTTTTGTCTTCGCAGCGCTTTGTTGGGTTTGAATTTTTCCCTTTTATAATCAGAAAGGTTAGGGGATGTCCGATTGCCGAGGGATCGCTCCCACATCACCGGCAGAACGGCCGTGGTTAAGACGCATCATTTCTGCGTCAAGCGAATTCAGAGAAAGCGTACGTCAAGGCGCTGCTGATTCAGAAGCGTGACTTAAGGTTTTCTCCTCTTCACCCTTCACATTGAGAGAGGTGTTGGGATCAGTGCTTAAGTTAAACTCCCATTTACGTGTTACTACAACAATATTTATTTCACGGAGATGACCGAATGTGATGAAGTACAGAAGATGAAAAACACGCTTCTAAGCGTCCATAAGATCACTTTTTGGTAAGCTTGACAGTAGTTCGTGAAAGTGTCTTACTTTACCCTTCTCATTTAATAGCTTTAATATTAAACTGTTTAAAAAGAAAAATCTGTTGCAGCCCTGAAGAAAAAGGTATTTGTTTCTGAAGAACGGAGTCCTTTTTGGTTTTGTTTTGGTTTTTGGTTGGGTTTTTTTTTTTTTTTTAAAATGCATGTGTAAGATTTGAATTCATGTTTCTCCTTGGGAGATAATGGTATTTGAACCTGCAGTCTGAACTTCTTTGTGCTTTGTGTAACATGGCAGTGGACTTTTGTGATTGGCACCCAAGGAACTTGACTCCTGGGATTAATGGTAGTGATCCTGGCTGCACTCTGGACTTTGTTTTGCTAACCATAATTGAGCAACTGTACATTACTGCTATATTAATGTTTCAAAGCACTGGGATAGTCTAATTCTAACTTGTAATTATGTTTGCCAATTATCTGTTTGGAAAGTTGGTGTATGAACAGCTTCTTGAAACTGTTAAATTGTACAGATATCGTTCATGATCTAAAGCTTTGTACTGTGGAATGTGCTTAATAAAAAAAAAAAGTTTGAACTTAATTTGTCAAATGGATAAGTAACGTCATCTACCCAAACATCGGTGTTACGCTTTAGTCAACGCAAGCTCAGCGCGCCGTTACGCAGACCCGGAGCTGGTGTTGCCGAGCGTTCCCCCTCGAGCTGTGTTGGGTGGCGGTGCTGGCGGTGCTGACCCTGCGGTGCCTTTCCCCGGTCGTTGGCCGCGTCCAGCCTAAGGCACACGGCTACCGGGCCAAAGCACTTTGAGTCCAAAACGTGTCCCCAGTGACCTGGGTGCGTGCAGGTGTGGGCTGGTGTTTTACCTTTCCGTTTGTTACAGCGCGTACGTCGGGAGGACGTGGTGAAAAACGGAGCTGAGCTCCTTCACCCATCGCGGAGGAACTTCACTTCTCCGCTTTGCTGTCACGCGTCAGAAGGAACATCACAAGTAGAATTTTTTCTTTACCAAGAATGCAGATAGAATTTTTTTAAATGTTACCTGTTTCCTTCGTTGCTAAAGCAATCTGTGTTTGTGCCCTGAGCCCAGTGTAGAGAAAGGGTCTTTCCGTGCTAGCTCTGTCTCCAGAACTTTGTCATGGGTTTTCTTTAGGTGACGTGCAGTGGCTAGTGAGAATTGAGTGATTCAAAGGTCTTGTCTTTGCCCTCTGTCCCCTGGCCTCCTGTCAGTAGTTTTATTTGTGAGTTAAGCTGGCTTTTAAACAACTTGAGAAGTTGCTGCTTGCACGGCTAATGAGTCGCTCCAGTGCATTTCTGAACTGTCAGACCAGAAGCGATGGACGGTGCAGATCCTGTGCTGCTGCCTGGTGCCGTTGGCACGGGGGACGAGTGGGGATCTCGGTGGCTTCTCACGGTCCAGGTAGGAGGGCAGCGGGGGCTGAAAATGTGCTGTGAAATCGTTGTGCTTCGACGATCCCTGCTTTGTATGCCGACCGTGGGGCTCCCCAGCAATCTTCTCGTGAAAGTGTCACTTTTGGTAAGGTGTGTGTTGGACGCGCTGACCTGAAATGTTTTTAAAGGTGCTACAAACTGCGCTAAGAATACAAACAATGTTCTGGCTAAGTGTCGGCAAGTTCACTCTTCAAGATGTCTCTCTAATGTAGATGATTTTTTGTTCTTCTTGGCCCACTCTTGACACTGGGTAATAATTTTCAGAGCAAGATTGCTGCTGCTCAAATTGTAGTTGCACTTCAGTGAGGGGAAAGCAAGTAAAAATCTATGTATCTTCTCCTAGAAGTGCATTGTAAAGAGCGAAACCTCGCTGAACTATTTCAAGGGGTTGTGAACGTCTTGCTGAATATCGTTATCCAAATAAGCCGTAAAAGCTCTGTGATATATCTGCTAAAATCTGGAGTGTAAACTTTGAGGTCAAATGTTAAAATTCCATTTTACACGGGTGGCCTTTGGTTTTGGTTGTTTTGTTGGGTTTTTTTCCTTGCAGTTGTAGCCTATTTAAGTCATCTGTTAATTCCCACCAGAGACCTTCCTAGTGGAGCTGCAGAGGCAGCTCTGTGCCGGGCGCTCCCACCCATCCCGCTGTGGTCTGGGGCCCCTTTTGACCCTTCCCTCCCACCCAAGGCTGGGAGCGATGCCCTGTCCGGGGCCCGAGGTAACCATGATGCTGCGAAAACACCCCGAGAGCGTGTGGGCAGGGAGGGCCGACCTGGGGGCCATCTGGCCCTGGTTAAGGAGAGGCCGTGGAGCATTCTCAGGTTGCAAGATATGAGGTAGCCCCGGCCATTAACGATCCGGTGGGTTGGGGTTTACCCTCACCGCGGTACGGCAGCACGGGGCTTCGCTCTGTGGTGTTCCCTGCTGCTCTCGGGCCGCTGTCGGTCCAAACGGCTGATGGGGTTTGGTAACCCAAGTGCTGGGCAAGGGTTTGCTCTTCGAAATGATGTGAAGGGGGTGGGTGAGGTCCCTCGGTGCTGTATTGGGGGGGACGATGTTTTTGTCAGCCAGCTGGGGCCCTGTCCCGATGTGCGCCGTGTGTTAGCTTACCTTCTGCCCACTTCGGCACAGCAGTGGGCATCGTTTGCCAAGAGGATTGGAGGGGGAAAAGTGCTCCCCAGAGAGCTACAGATTATTTTTATGAGATTCCTTTAAAATCCGTGTCTGAAGATGGGCGGCTGTGGGCTGGGCTGTTGTACTCCAGCTGTGACTTTCAGGTGAGAAGGTTTGGTGTCGGTGGCTCTGGTTTTCCCACCGGAGCGCGGTTCCCCAACCTCATGGGTCGCCCTGAGGAGGCGGCTGTCCCTCTGTCACTGCTCGGCCTGCTTGCTCTCGTGTGTCCCTGCGTGTGGGGAAGTCACTCGTGGCTTTCCCACCCTGTCAGCACGGCGAGGTGACAGCTCCCCAGCCGACCTCCTGCCTGGAGAAAGGCTCCTCTTAAACCGGACTGGGCTCAGCTGGGGCTGGCTGTCCGGCTGGGAGCCGTGGTGGTGAGCTGGATTGGGAACCCGTTTTCTCATGTTAATTGCAGGAGGTGGTGGGAGGGAGAGCAGTGGGATGGCTCTTCCTGGCTGGGCAGGAGATGTTTAGGCCTGATTCTGCAGACTGTCCAGCCCGGAGCTTTCTCCTCGGCGGTGCAGAGCTGAGCGCTCCAGGGCTGAGTTTTTGCTCGACTTTGCCAAACTCCTCCTCTGCTGCAGCCCGGTTTTTCTTCCCAGATGCCTCCTCTTCATTTACCTCTGCTGCTCACCATTTCCAGAAGGTTTTTTTGGGGTGTGTGTGTGTTGTTTTGGGTTTTTGTTTGTTTGGGTTTTTTTTCTGAGCAGCTGTGAAATGGAGAAGACCCAAGTGGGGAGTGAGAGCAGGACCGTGGGGCTGTGGGAAGGGGGGGCCCAGTGGGAAACTGTGTGCAGACAGGATAAGTGGCAGGGACCGGCGTCTGCGGGGAGCACTTGGATGCGGAGGAACGCCTCGCTTTCCTGTCCTGTGGGAGTCCAGGCTCTCCTGCCGTGGGGCAGCACCTGCCAGGGAGGGCAGCGGTTCCAGGGAACGGGGGGTCCGGGTGGCTGCTCCTGCCTGGCTCGCCTGCGGAGGTTGCCCAGCGCACTCCTGCA